TTAGTCAAATTAACTAACAAATGGAAAGAGAAGATTCAAATTAATATAATTAGAGACAGAAAGGGGGATATGACAACAAACACTGATGAAATCCAGAAAATAATGACATACTTTAAAAATCTGTAATCTACTAAACTGGGAAGCCTATAAGAAATGGATGAATTTCTTTAGATAGATAGATAGATAGATAGATAGATAGATAGATAGATAGATAGAGATATATAGATATATAACCTACCAAAATTAAATCAAGATCAGATAAGCAATTTAAACAGACCCATAACCCCTGGTGAAAGAGAAGCAGTAATTAAAAGTCTTCTGACCCGAAAAGCTCAGAGTCAGAAGGATTCTTTGCAGAATTCTACTAGACTTTCAAAGAAGAATTAGCACCAATATTCCTCAAATTATTCCACAAAATACAAATGGAAGGAATATGAGGCGACACTTATCCCAAAACCTAAGCTATACAAAGACCCAACAAAGAAAGAGAATTGCAAACCAATATCCCTTATGAACACAGGTCTAAAAATTATCAACAAAATACTTACAAGCCAAATCCAAAAACACATCAGAAATTATCTGCTATGATCAACTTGGCTTCAATCCCAGGGAGGCAGGGATAGTTCAAGACATATAAATCAATAAATGTAATGCACCACATAGGGTAAAAAACAAAAACCACATCATCATTTCATTAGATGCAGAAAGATGGATTTTTGACAAAAATCCATCATCGCTTTATGATAAAAAGGCCTGGAGAAACTAGGGATACAAGGGACATGCCTCAACATAATAAAGGCAATTTACAGCAATTCCACAGCCAATGCCAACCTAAGCAGAAGAAGCATTTGCACTGAAATCAGGAACATGACAAGACTCCACTCTTTGCATACCTAGTCAGTATAGTATTTGACATTTTAGCTAGAGCAATAAGACAACTGAAGGAGGCCAAGGGGATACAAATAGACAAAGAAGTCAGTGTTTTATTTGCAGATGATGCCCTAAAAACTCCATTAAGAACCTTCCATGCTGATAAACACACAAAAACACATTGAGGAAATAGATTAGATATCAGAAGAAGATTTCTCATGCTCTTGGGGTAGTATTAATATAGTGACAATGGCCATCCTACCCAAGGCAATCTGCAGATTTAACACAGTCCCCATCAAAATTCTGGTTTCTTCACAGAAATTGAAAGAGCAATTTTCAGTTTCATATAAGCTCAGAAAAATACAGGATAGCTAAAATAATACAACAATTAATAAGAGATTAATAAAAGAACTTCTGGAAATAATCACATCCCCGATCTCAAATAGCAATACAGAGCTATACTAATAGAAACATCATGGCATTGGCACAAATACAGACATTTTGATCAATGGAACTGAATTAAAGACTCAGACTAAGTCCACACACACTTATGAATACCTGCTTGATTTTTTTTTTATAAAAACAAGCCAGGAATGCACACTAGAAAAAAAGACAGCCAACAAACGGTGCTGGTCAAAGTAGAAGGCTGCATGTAGAAGAATACAAATAGATCCACATTTGTCACCCTGAACAAAACAACTCAAAATGGATTAAGGACCTTGGCATAAGGCCCTAATTCTCATGTGAGAGGTGGGGAATAGTGTTGAACTCATTGGCAAAGGAAAACACTTTCTTAACAGGCACTAATACCAACAATAAATGGGACATCATAAAACTTAGAAGCTTTTGTATGACCAAGGACACCATCAATTAGGCAATTATATATCTCAGTGTGTGTGTGTATGAATGTATATATATATATACATTTATATATGTGCATATATATCACAATTTTTTTAAAAATGGGCACAGAACTAAACATAGATCTCAAAAGATGAAAACAAATGGTTGAGAAACACTTAAAGAAATGTTCAATATCCTAAGTCATCAGAGAAATGCAAATCAAAACTAATTTGAGATTTCATCTTACACCAGTTACAGTGGCCAAGATCGATAAAACAAATGACAGCTTATGCTAGTGAAGGTGTGGGGAAAGGAGAACCCTTATTCATTGCTGGTGGGAGTGCAAACCTGTACAGCCACTATGGAAATCAGTGTGGTGGTTCCTCAGGAAGATGGGGATAATTCTACTTCAAGAGCCAGCTATACTACTCTTGGGCAGATACCCAAAGGACCTCTGCATCCTACTACAGAGATACTTGCTCATTGCTGCTCTAGTCATAAAAACCCAAAATTTACAATAACTTAGCTGTCCATCAACTGATAAATGGGTAATGAAATGTAGTACATTTATATGATTGCCTATCATTCAGCTGTTTAAAAAGTTATTAAATTTGCATATAAATGGATGAAACTAGAACCCAGAATATTATTATTATATTATATAAGAGAAAATATACAATATGTGGTTGTTAGCTTTTAAGTTTTCATATGTGTTCTACAGTCTATATAGCCACAGAGATTAGGCACCTAGTGAGGCTCTCCCAAGGAAGAGCATGTAGGAGATATTGTTTTGAAGAGACAGTGGTGAGACTGGAGTGGGAGGACTAAATGGGGAGAGGAAAGAAGAGAGGGGTGAGGGAGAGAATGTGGGGAAGGATAGCTAACACTTTGAGCCATTTGAAGGGCTATATGGAAATCTACCACTATAGAAGCTTCTTTAAATATATACATATATGAAAGAAATATAAATGGAATTGTCAAATAATGGAGAGACAGTGCCCCAACTAGATATCTTATGAACACCAGGTAAAATCTCCAGTGCCAGGAATGTGTTGTATCTATTTGAGTCTTTGGCCAAAGTGGCACCAAGGAAATTCCCAAACATCTCAGACTATTACCAAAGCTATTGGTTGCTCTCCAAAAACTAATAATAAGGCCCCATTGCTGATACAGCACTTATATAATTCGTCAAACATGGAGAAGTAGAACTGGTGCCTAACTAGAGGTTTCACCCCTAAAGACTGTATTCATGGTACTGGAAAATACTCTTAAATGCCACCAGAGGAGAAAGGTAACTATCGACACAGCTGCTAACCCTGCAATCTGCAACAGTGATCTTTCAGCAAGATGTGCTGGTGCAATAGTAGCACAAACATTGTAGGAGTAACCAACCACTCTGATCGGATTTAAGCACATTCGATGAGATAAAGCCCGTATCTGACACTGCTGTGGTGCTGAGAACCCTAGAGTAGAAAGGCCATGGGAAAATCTAATACTATTATTCTTCTAAAGCAGTGGTTATCAACCGTCCTAATGAGGCCCTTTAAAACAGTTCCTCATGTTGTGGTGATCCCCCAACCAAAAAATTATTTTTTGTTTCTACTTCATAACTGTAATTTTGCTACTATTATGAGCCGTAAATATCTGTGTTTTCCAATAGTTTTACATGACCCATATGAAAGGGTCATTTAACCCCTAAAGGGCTTATGATCCAAAGATTGAGAATCACTGTTCTAAAAGAACCATAGCAATAGAACATCTCTTAATAAGATTCTGCTCTACCTATAAGTCAGTCCCTGATTCAGCCATCATCCAAGGAACAACTTCTTGCAGTGGGTAGGAACTTACACCTAAACACCTAGAATTATAGCTGGACAAATGCAGAGAGTGAGAGATTTTGGAATACTCTTTCCTATATGATGTCTTCATCAGACCATCCCCTCAGGGCTTAGGGAACTATGTGGAGGCAAAAGCAGAAAGACTGTAAGAGCTAGAGAGGATGGGTGACTTAAAGCAAACAGTACCCTCCAAATAGGACAGAGTCACATGTAATTCACAGAGCTGTGGCAGCAAGCACAGTGCTAGCACAGGTCCAAGGCAGAGGCAGTCCAACTGCTGAGAAGGGGAAGTGAACATGAACTCCCAACCCTAGCCAAGAAGCTATCTGTATTTGAATTCTGCTTGCAACTGAAAATTTATTTTTCTCCAATGAAGCCTCACTGCATCTATTAACTATACTTCAGGGCAGGTTCCATACCCAGCGGTAGGTATGTAACCCAAAATGAACTCAATAGGATTTTTATAGATTTTCTGTCTTAAATTGCTGTGGTTGGTATTTTTTGTCTTATTGGTTTTTCTCTCGTATAGTTTGGTTTCCATTTGTATGGGTGTGTGTGTGTGTGTGCATGTATGTGTTTCCTAGTCTTTTGTTCATAGTTTATTTTTTGTTTGCTTGTTTGTTTTTTAAAGAAAGAATGAAAGAGTGTAGATTTAAGTGGGTGGAGAGGATATGAAAAAATTCAATAGGAAAAAAAATACCCATGAGGTTTGGACTTGGATATGTTTTTAACAAATGTGTAGCTATTGTCTAACAAATGTAAGTTAGCAGATATGTCCTGAGACTCAAGCTTCTCTTTTTATATTTGGAGTAGTAACATCCATCTTTTATGGGTATTTAGCATGTGTATGTAGGGCGGCAAACATACTAACTGGCATGAAATATGCAGGAAAGGTTCATTCCTTTTGTCTCCAGAAAGATAGTAAGCTTAGGACAATATTGGAAAAAATTTGAGTAGTAATTTTTCTTTTATTTCTTTTTTTCTTATTATTTTGGGGGTTTTTTGTTTGTTTGGTTGGTTGGTTGGTTTGGTTTGGTTTTAGTTTTCGGTTTTTCAAGACCGGAATTCTCTGTGTAGCCCTGGGTGTTCTGGAACTTGCTCCGTAGAACAGGCTGACCTCAAAATCACAGAGATCCACCTGCCTTTGCCTCCTGAGTACTGGGATTAAAGATGTGTGCTACCACTGCCCAGCTGAGTAGCAGTATTTCAAGATCCAAGAAATGTTTTTGTTTGTTTGTGTTTTCAGACAAGGTTGCATATAACCCAAACCAGCCTCAAATTCATTGTATAGCTGGAGATGCCCTTGAACTTCTGCTCCTTCTTGCCTGCCTCCCCAGTGGTGCAGCGCTGGGAGGATCAAGCCTATGTTGTGCAAGCACTCTAGTAACAGTTATTTCTAGCCCTTCTGTGGTCACTTAAAAACACTGCTTATGTTCTATGCCTTTGCAGCTAATACAGAAGAAGTCGCCTTGTTTACATCATGGATAACACAAAGGAAAAGAATAATTACAAAGATGATCTTCTGCTAAGGATGGGACTAAATGATAATAAAGCAGGGATGGAAGGACTGGATAAAGAGAAAATTAACAAAATTATAATGGATGCCACAAAGGTATGTTCTTGCTTCTTTCAGTATCTGTGATTTATTTTTTTAAAGATTTATTTATTTATGTACTTTATGTATATGGGTCTGTTGTCTGCCTGTACATTTGCAAACCAGGAGAGAGCTTTGGATTCCATGGGACTGTAGTTATAAGTGGTTGTGAGCCACCATGTGGGTTCTGGAAATTGAACTCAGAACCTCTGAGCCAGTGCTCTTAACCTCTAATTGATCCCCAGCACCCAGTATCTATGATTTAGTCAGTATTAAAAGAAAATTACTAGTTTTGGTTTACTATCATTTTTATTAATTAAAATGTTTTAATATACCATTAAGCTATGAAATATATAAATGCTTTTCAAATCTGTTTTGCTTGTTACGAAGCTTTCTACTTTGAATTTATATAAAAGTTATAAATTAAAATAAAATTCAATAAAATTTTATGCATATAAAAGCAAAAGAATGCACATGTTTTATCTTTTTACCTCTTGTAAATGAATATTAATAATTGGATGGAGATTTATACTTGCATATGTGGATATAGTTTATTGATCTAATCAGAATTGTTACTGATTGATATCTAAGCCATTCCTAATCTTTTATTTTATTATGTTGTTTATGTATTTATTTTGAGGCAGGGTCTCACTATATAGTCCTGGCTGTCCTGGTACTCATTACGTAAACTAGGTTGGCCTTGAATTGATGGAGATCTGCCTGCCTATGCTGGATTTAAAGTTCTGCTTACATTTACTAATCTTTATTTTAATGATTTTTCCAAACAGGGTTTCTCTGTGTTGTCCTTGCTGTCCTGAAAGTCACTTTGTAGACCAGGCTAGTCTTTAACTCAGATATCCAGTTACCTCTGCCTTCTGAGTGCTGGGATTAAAGGCGTGTTTCACCACCATCTGGCTACATTTACTAATCTTATGTGTGACAACTATAAAAGAGATATCTAGAAGTGGAATTGCTCTACAAAATACAGAATATATATATATATATATAGTGAGTTGCTAAAGTCCCCCCCATAGCCACTTTGTCAATTTCTATCGCTTCCTCTATTTTATGAGCTTATTTATTACCATGTCAAAACTGCACCAAAAGACTGTGTTCCTGAATGTTTTGATTCGCCAAGTTGAGGTAACTGTGTAGTACTAACAACTCAATCAAAAAATGGTCAGAAGATATGAATAGGCTGTTGTAGAATATTATTTGAAGATATGTTGCATTTGTTTATGATGTGGAATATTTGTTTAATGATGCAGAGATGTGTTGCATTTGTTTAACTCTGTGAAGCTGTGTTACTTTGCCTATTTAAAACACCTGATTGGTCTAATAAAGAGCTGAATGGCCATTAGCAAGGCAGGAGAAAGGAAAGGCGGCGCTGACAGGCAGAGAGAATAAATGGAAGGAGAAATCAGGGAGGAGCAAGAGAAGTTTGAGGAGCAAAAAAAGAGAGACTCCAAAGGTCAGCTACCCAGCTACACAGCAAGCCACAGAATAAGAAGTAAAGAAAGGTGTACAGAAATAGAGAAAGATAAAAGCTCAGAGGCAAAAGATTGATGGGAAATTTAAGTTAAGAAAAGCTGACTAGAAACAAGGCAAGCTAAGGCCGGGTAATAAGAATAAGACTCTGGGTGTATTTGTTTGGTAGCTGGGTGGTGCCCCCCTCCACATCCACGAAGAACCAAAGAACCAAAAAATAAAAAAAACAACCAACAACAGTAGGCATTTAAGTGAAGAAGATGTGCATATGTCAAACATGAAAAGATACTCAGCATTATTAGTCACTTAGGAAATACAACTTAAAAAAACCAGGAATATGTCATCTACATTATTATTGGCCAGAATAGCTATAATAAATAATATAATCAAGAGCATTGGTAGAGATATGGGGAAGTTGGAGCCTTCATATGCAGCAACAGAGTCATGGTTCAGTCAGTTACTCCAAGGGTTAGGCATGTATTACCATAGATCCAAAAATACCCTCATAAATGCATATGTATAGGAATGGCGGTGTATGTTCATGCTAAACTGTGTATAAATCTCTGTAGCAGCATTTTTCATGAGAGCCACGTGTAGAACTAACTTAATGCCCATGTCCTGATAATTGATCGCCACTGTGTTCTGTAGTGTAATAACAGATGGTTCAGTGTCTTTAATGACTTCCTGCTAACGTTATGAAGGAGACCCGTAAGGGAGATAACCAAGGAACTAGCTGGCAGAGCTTGGATGTGCCCCATGGGCCCTCCACAAATGACATTTTTTTTATTGTTTTCGTTTTGAATCCAAATCTTAACTCAATTTTTTTTCTTTGTAGTATTGTCTCACAAGAATTATATGGTTTAGGTGTATGTGTTGTGTGTGTGTGTGTGTGTGTACATACATGCGTGCGCATGATGTTAGTGGTGAATCTAGGGCCTCGTGCATGCTAGGGAAGCCCTCTTTACAGATAAGGAAACTGACCCAGAAGAGTGAAGTTGCTTTCAGATGGCAGTATGACTTCAGCGTCCCCCTCTTGGCCATGAAGTCACTGCAGTGGCCCTTTCCTTCTGACACTTCCCTTCTGCTTCATTTTCTCTGTAGGGGTCCAGATTTTATGGAAATGAGCTCAAGAAGGAAAAGCAAGTCAATCAACGGATTGCCAATATGATGCAACAAAAAGCTCAGATTACCAACCAGCAACTAAGGAAAGCACAGTTAGAGGTATTTATTGAGTTGCCGGGGTGAGGCTGGTAGAATGGGGTTGACAACAGCTGCAGGCAGGGGAGAGGGAAGTGTTGGTTGTGTGACTAGGCGTGCATAGTCAGCAGGCACTCATGCACTGCTAAGCCTCACTCTACACCTTTCCCTGCGTAGAGTCAGCGCTGTCCTAGTTAACTTGTCTGGCTTCAGAGGATATAGTTAGCAGGATTAGGATTTGACCCATAGCTTATGCTGTTGTATTATTTATGTGCTTTGCACCAGACAAAGCTCTTAAACAAATAGGGCTAATTTGCCACGGTGGATCTGAGTGGGGGGGTTAATTCTTTAAATGAGAGTAACCATGTTTTAGTAAAATAAAAAGTTATACTACAAGTGAAATACCAAATGAACATAAAATTTTTGAAGGAAACAATATTTCTAAAAACCTAGAGGTTTTTGTGCTCTCCGGAACTTGGAGGGAATAAATAATTTGAAGTTCTCAAAGCTACTAGAAGTTATTTCCGTAGAAAAGTTTGGAAAGAACCAAGGTTTGTGACACCCGTGGAAGATTGACAGCTCCAGGTAGACATGTTTCTCCTGGTCAGACTAAAGCTATAGACAGATGAGTATTTTCTCTTAAAATCTGACCCAATTTTCACGAAGCACTGAACATAGGGAAGCACTCTCTACTGACAAGGAAATTGACACAGGAAGGTGAAGTAATTTTCAGATTACTCAGAGCTGAGCATAGTAATAAAATTGCAGTATCAATCTGACATGCTGCAAAATCTTTATCTTACAGTGGAGTTCAGAGATCATGAAGTTCCTTTACTGAACCATATCATTTTTTCATAAACACTTTTCCAAATATTATTTTAACTTGATTTTTATTGTTGGTATAGTTATTTTCATAAAACATTATATTAGTTTACATTTTCAATATATGTGTTACTTTCTTCAAATGCTTGCTGTAAACTAGACTTCCTTAATTTTGTTACATTTTTCAGTTTTGCTGTGTATATAATCTCTCCAGCAGATTTCACGGATGTTCTAATTTACCTTCTATTGTATCAGAGAAGAAACTCCTCTCACACAGCACTCATCCTCTCATTATGGGAATATGTTCTTTTATTCTGTTTGTTATGATACAGGTTAAGTAGGCGGCATAAGAAAACCAAAATAATAGTTTCTTTCTTATAATAAAAAGTAATCACTTATTACATACTTTTCCTATGGAGATAGGAACAAACATATATTTATCCAAGATAGGCACTGATGTCAGACCAAATAACAATCCCATAAAAGTCTTGTTAGTGAACAAGTAAGTTTATTGGACTTACTTACAGGGAGAATGTGTGAACTACTTATAGGAAGATGAATAACTCAAAACCAGCTTATCACTAAAACGTCACAGCCCAGCATGGGTGATGATCCTAAGATCTGCATGGATGGAGTCCCTCCTGCAGCTGACCTTCTACCTCCTATGTGCTATCACCTCTCATGACCACAGGTAGAGGGACAGGAGTGTGTGCAGAGGGGAACCGGATGCACAGGAAGGAGTGAATGATTGTAATCTCAGATGAGGTCCAGTCACCCTTGCCCCACTCTTCCTAGGAGGGAAGGTCAGTAAGCTGGGTCTTGTGAGGATCTCTCGCCTGAAGTCACAGTTGTTCTGACTTCAGGGTAATGCTGGCCAGGCCAGGCCTGGAGTTCCACAGCATCCCTGGCTCTGATTACCGTAGTAATTTCAGACATAGATTTTTCTTAAATCATACTATTCCATCATCTCCTGGTATTAGAATTACTGATCTGACAAAAGTATCCCATGTTCCATTTCCTGGTGAGGAAGAAGTAGTGTTGGGTAGATTAAAAGCAAATAATTCACTGTTAAACAAGTAAGAAAGAAGTTGCAAACAGTATTTAAACTCACATTCTTTTGGCAGCAACTCTAGTTACAGGGCCACACATATGCTCTCTAGCTGGGTGGTCATCTGCCCAGCCTTTCTGTTTAACAGAAAGAAGTGGGAATATGTTTGGAGGTTCAGCTAGCAGTCTAATGCTGTTCTCTTACGCAGTTCTGGAGTTTATTTCTCTCCGTTTATGAGATCTTATGTATTAAGGATTTTTTCTCACTATATGTCCTGTTTGTATTTCCAATATATCTTTTAATTTTTTAGTTTGACCACATATTTTCAAGCTTATATAGTCAAATTCAGTATTGTTCCTTGTAAGACTTAGTTTTTAGAGCTGTTTCAGGTTTATAGCAAAACTGAACAAAAAGTTAAGATTCCCCTGCCCTCACACAGGCGAACCTCTAGCCAAGCATTGTCTCCCACAAGTGACTACATTTGTTGCTATGGCATGGTATTATCATGCAAAATCAATAAGTCAGTACTGATTTCTTATGCTTATAGGTGTAGACAAGTTTATGATAGTATATATTCACCATTACAGTATCACACAGAGTGTGAGTTATTGCCGTAAAAACCTTTGTGATCTATTTAGTCATCCTTCCCTCCCTACTAATCCCTGGCAAGCACTGATCTTTTCACTCTGTCCCAAGTTCCACCCTTGCCAGAAGGCCATGGAATTGGAATCATACAGTGTGTAGCCTTTTCGGGCTGGCTTCTGTCACTTAGTAATATGCACTTAGATTACTTTAAGTCTGTTCGTGGCTTGATAGCTCCTTGCTTTCATGTGCTGCCTGTTATTCTCTGTCTGAATGTATAACAGTTTACCTCCTGAAGGACATGGAGCTTGCTTCCAAATCTGGCAACTATGAATAAACTGCTATAGATACCTATGCGTCAATTTATGTGTGAACTAAGTTTTCAATTCCGCTTAACTGTCAGACTCTCTTCCAAGATGACCATCCCGTTTGGCTTTCTCATCAAAATGGATGAAGGGCCCGGTTGCTGTTCCTTCTAAGCAATCTTTGGAGCCATCAGTTTTCTCAGTTTGGGCCTTCCTGAGATGTTGAGGATAATGGAATCACATCATTTTATTCCACATTACTCATTGCCATAGACTGGGGAACCTCTTTTCACTTGCCGTGTATACATCTTTGTTGCGGTATCTGCTCAGGCCTTATGCTTGGTTTTAAATCAAACTAGCTTTTTTAAAATTGAATTTGAAGAATCCTTTATATATTTTGGGTATCAACCACATATTGGCCTGATTTTGCGAATGTCTTCTTTTAGCTTATCTTTTGACTCTTGATAGTTTCTTTCACTGAGCAGAAATATAAAATATGTTTCAGTTAAATTCTGAAGGATTTGATTTTCCAAGTTTAAAAAATTGTGTTCTGTCCAAAACAATGCTGTCTTTAAATTGACCTTCTTCCTTAAACAATTTTCTTTCTAGACTTGTTGGGTTTTATTGATCTGTAATCTACTAACATCTTTAATAAAAGTTTTACAAATAGAGAAGAACATAGCTGGTGCATTGTACTGACTTTGGGGATTTCACACTAATTTTTCAGATTAACCTTCTGTTAACGTGAAGGAATAGAAAATGCCTTCTATTGCACAGTAGAATTTCAGGTTTTGTTCAGTCTTAGACAGCTGTTTGATGGGAGCCTCTCTGGCATCTTCCAGAACAGGAATGGCAGGAAATGTGTCTTATGTTGATTGTTGAATTGTTTCATTTGTTGAGCTTCCTCTAGAAGAAGCTGTGTACACGGGAGGAGGCTGAGGAAGTCCCAAGGAGTCCAGAAGGTTTCAGAAAACAGATTTTTCATGGAAAGTGTTTCTATTTTAGACTCACATTTTCCACAAGCTACATTTTATTACAGTGATATGCTAGGATAGTGTAAATTCCTTAGGTCAGGCTGAGGTAGTCTCCAGGCATAAGCCAGGCTGTTCATTTTGAACCCCTTTGATTTTCCTCACTGTATTCTACCCTCATCAGACTTCTTTAAAACACAGGGTTATTATTGTCACCTTATAAAGTATCTTCTAATGAGCTCCTGGATCGACTAAACAAGCATCCATGTTGTGTTAAGTGGAAGCCGCATAGCAAATCAGTGCGTTTTGACCATTTCAGCAAGTGCCTTCACTAACTTGGATTAGCTCAGCAGCATTTATGAAAATACTAAGTCAAGAAAATAAAAAGCATTCTTTCCACACATTTTTCTAAATGTAATAGAAATTGAGAGTTTTAAAAGGAAATTATGTTAATATACAGTATGGGTATAAACTATATAGTTGATCTGAACTTTTTTGGTGTTAAAGACTATTCAAAGTCTGTGTTATCCACGCCTCTGATCCCAGCACTTGGGAGGCAGAGGCAGGTGGGTTTCTGTGAGTTCTAGGCCAGCCTGGTCTACAGAGCAAGTTCCAGGACAGCCAGAACTAACAGAGGGTCTCCAAAACAAAAAGCAACAGCAGAAAAAACAAAAGCCAATATCTGTGATAGAGAGGCGTCATAAGATGATGAAAGTAAACAAACTTCGGAGTAACCTGCTTTTCAAGTCCAGCCCTCCCATTTGCCAGCCCTGAGACTTGGAGCAAATGACTTAATCTTTATAATCTTTCATTTTTCTCATCTATAAGAGTTATAATTGTTATGTCAGAATTGTTCTGACTGTAAATGAATTTATGTGGGAGACACTTAGTATATTACATGATCTACTCGGTAACTGTCAAGTCTACCTTAAAGTGAGCGGCACTGCCCCCAAGCCCTTGCCACACCCCTCTCTGAGAACACTTTATATGAGTATCTCTTCAGTCCTTCAGACGTTTTGCTGTGAGTTTCCTTCTGCTTGACAAATAAGGGACGAAATGACTAATTTAACCAGTGTCAAGTAACTGATGAGCGGCAACACTGAGACTCAAAAGAAAGTCCCTATTTTTAACCCTAGTGACCCACGAGCTCACAGAAGTAACAGACGGAGAAGGTAGATGTTATGGCCTCAGATCAGATCGGGATGTAAAAGCCATTCGGAAGGAAACCGGGATAAGTGGAACCCTGAGTGAGCCCTAAAGCAGAAGAAAGGTCCCGAGCAGTGGTGCTGTGCTCTGGGAGCAGCAGAGCAGGCTCAGACCAGGAGAGTGACTAACAGAGATAGGAAAGGAAAGTGGAATGTGTGAGTCACCCTGGGAGGTTTCCTCTGGCAGCTGCACGCTCGCCTTAGTCCAAGAGAGAATAGATTGCTAAGGAGGCTGCCACAGCGTTCATTTATGGGTGTGAGGGGAGTTTTCCCACTTGATTTGCTTTCTATTTATCTATGCCTTTCTACATTATCCCAGCCCAAAATACTTCAGATGCCACTCCCTTATTCTTACTTCATCCATATTTTAGGCATATTGTTATTGTTATAGATTAGATTTCCGTTTTTATTAATCTCCATGGTTTGTCATCCGCAGTCAGGGCCATATGACCTTATTCAAATTAGAAGTGTTAGAAAAAGCAGTTTGAAATCAGGATAAAACCTGAGTGAAGATGAAAAGTTCAATTTGTTCAGGACAGTATAGTGAAACACTTACCTCTAGAGTTTTCTGATACTGCTTTAGATAAAACTAACTTTAATATATTGGGATCAATATATTTATTTTTTCTATCTGCCTCCCTATCTTTCTTGAGGGGAAAAATTTAAGGCAGCTAAGGTCGTTCTCATGGTGAAAACAAGTAAGAGAAGTTTAATTCTCTGGCACAGAAGAGAAAGAACCAGCTGACTTTCATGGGGATGTTTGAGTTGATTCTTGAAAGCTTGCAGCAGAGCTCAGAGAGGCTTCTACAGAGCCCAGCCGGTGCAGAGCCGCTCCGGCTGGGGACTCACAGGAGTAGACCTGCAGACATTCAGCCTCTGCTACAGACAAATGTGGCCTGGGGCGTTGTTTCTAAGAGAGGAATTGCAGCTTTAGTCCCATGCTAGAGGACAGCTAATGTGTCCCTTCTAAGGAAGAGCTTGGAACAGGTATTCTGTAGAGCGAGGCCCAGACTGAAGAGCAGCGTGGGGGTGGAGGGGGCACATTATATCTTTGTGGCTCTCCACATGAGGCAGGTTGCTTTCATTGAGGAGACAGCTTGTTTCTTTGGGCTGTTTTCCTCCCTTTGGGTTACTATGTTATGCCGCCATTGATCCTTTCAGTAGTAGATTTCATTCATTGAACGGGGGTGCCATGTACCAGACATTGTTCTGTGTTCCATGTGGACTGTATTTGTTTTATTTCTGTTTTGTGATTTGCCTTCATAGTCTAGGCAGCTTCCTTATGTGTTGATAAAATTAAAACTGTCACATAGCTGCCCTTTGCAGAGTAAGCTAGGGAAGCACACATATAGCATCAGTAGAGGCCATCCATATGAATAGGTTGCTATATAACCCCTTTTTTCTTTGCCTATTTGATTTCTCTATGTTTATTTCTCTTTTTTTTCTTTTAGTGCAATAACTTATTTTCAAAGAGACCAAAATTTTTTAAGATTATAATTCTGCCTTGTTATATTTGACATATATATTAAAAGTTTATGAAAATACGCTTCACCTTCAGTTTTCAATTGAATATTTGTATAGAATAACAATCTCAGACTTTAGCTCTTGTCCTGGCTAGATTTATGTCAACCCAACACAAGCTAGAATCAGGGAAGAGGGACTGTCTATTAAGAAAATCTCTCTCCATAAGATCAAGCTGTAGTCAAGTCTATTGGGCATTTTTTAAATTCAGGGATTGATATGGGAGGGCCTTGCACATTGTGGGTGCTGCCACTTCTAAGCTAGGATCCTGAGTTCTAAAAACAAAGCAGCCATGAGAAGCAAGCCAGTAAGCAACCCTCCTCCATGCCCTTTGTCAGCTGCTGCCTCCAGGGTCCTGCTCCAGGGTCCTGCCCTGTTAGAGTTCTTGCCCTAACTGCTGTCGATGATGCTGGAAGTGTGAGCGAAATAAATCCTTTCCCCCCAAGTTTCTTTTGCTCGTGGTGTTTCATCACAGCAGTAGAAACCTTCACCAAGGCAGCACCGCAAAAGTAGTTTTACGGAAGGATCATTTACTTTGTGTTTCAGCATGTTCGTGTGCACATTATTATGCAACATTATGTCATGCACCACAGGTATAATCTCTTATTGTGTGTTTCCTTTGTTTCTATCTGAAGACATTAACATTTTGAGTCAAATGGGAATTGTTTAATTTACCTAAATAGAAGCTTTGAGTTATAATAAGTTTTTTCAAATTTGTTCAGCAGTAAGCATGATTTGATGCAGGCAGCTGGGATAGCTCATTTATTCATTAAATGCTTGGTAACTTCCTGCTATATTCCAGGGAGGGCAGAAAGAAGAGTTACTAGGAAATTATACTTTCAAATAGGCTGTCAGTCTGGACAGAGGGCTCAGTGGGTAGAGTATTTGCTGTGGAAGCGTGAGGACCTGAGTCTGGGTCCCCAGCACCCAGGTGTGATGTCTGTAACCCCAGCACTCTGCAGGGAGACAGGTGAGTTCCAGGAGCTCACTGGCCAGCCAACCTAGCTCAAACAGCAAGTCTGAGTTCAATGAGACATCCTGTTTCAGAATATAAGGGGGAGAGCAACAGAAGAGACCCAAGGCACTCCTGCCCAATCACATTGTTCATGGGTAAGCGCGTTCACACTCATACACAAATTCTTAAAATAATAGTAGTAGGTTCTCTGTGTGAAAATAAGGGCAATTACTAACCTTAATCAACAGCAATAAACTGTATACCCATAAATACAAGAAAATATATACCCAATAAGTAAGTAGATTGATAGGTGGATAGATGAGCAGATTGGCAGCCAGAAAGATACCTTCTGAATTAAAATTTATGATGAATGATGTTTTGATATCATATTGTCTAAAAGTACATTAACTTTTTAAAAACTAAGGTTGACCGATTTGCAATGGAATTGGAACGGAACCGGAATTTGAACAATACCATAGTTCATGTTGACATGGATGCTTTCTATGCAGCTGTGGAAATGAGAGACAATCCGGAACTGAAGGATAAACCCATTGCTGTAGGATCAATGAGTATGTTGGTAAGTAGGTGAAGTTCAAAAACAAAAAGGAAATTTCATAAGCTTATTCAATTCAGTTTGCTGAGGACTTTGCTACTTTTCCAGGTGGTTTACACATGCTCAGTTACTGAAACCTTTCAATGTAACTGATCCTACTCATTTCTGTTTCCACTCGAGAAAAAGGGAAAACAAAAATAATTAATAAATTGCCCAGAGATACAAACTCAGGAAAATAGCACATTAGCTTTTGTATTCTCTATTGCAAATTTACTTCTTCAAAAGGGTTCTAGTGAGAGTTGAAAAGAAAAAGCAAAGGAAATGTTATGTTTAGCCAGAGGTTTTTAAACTGGCTTGTGGACCAAGTCTAGCCTGTCATCGTTTTTGTAAAGAAACTTTATTGGAGCCGGGTGGTGGGGGCACACGCCTTTAATCCCAGCACTCGTGAGGCAGGCGGATCTCTGTGAGTTCGAGGCCAGCCTGGTCTACAAAGGGAGTTCCAGGACAGGCTCCAAAGCTACAGAGAAACCCTGTCTCAAAAAANAAAAAAAAAAAAAAAAAAAAAAAAAAAAAAAAAAAAAAAAAAAAAAAAAAAGAAAGAAAGAAAGAAACTTTATTGGAGGAAAGAAGTTATGGCCATTTATTTATTATTGTCACACTAAAAGAACACAATTGGATAGAGTTGCATAGTTGCTAAGAAAACACATCTGCAAAACCTGAAGAGATTATGTATTTTCTAAACTTTTACAGAGAGGATTGCCAACCCCTATTTTTGAATAATGTAGCTTACTAATATGTCTAGAATGCTATTAATTTTCCCATAACTCAGAATCACTTGTTTTTATGATTGCTAAGTTGATTTTTTTTCTGACCTAAATTAAGGTAAAGTAACGGGAGCCATGCCTGTGACTGAACACATAATTAAAAGTAGCAGCCCGTTCACAGCCATACCACCCAAGGCACCACATCTCATCTAAAAGTAGCAGCTAGGATAGAGAGGCATTCGTATTACAGAACACACAAGAGAAACAAGGAGAGTTCCTCCCTGTTGCTGACTTCCCAGTGCCTGAGGTAACTAAAAGCTCTGACCTACCATTATGTTATTATGAATCTCTAATCTATCATGAAATGGAAAGAAAATAATTGTATGTGCGTATGTGCTTTCTTACACACAGATTCTGTGGCCATGTTTGAACTAAACTCACTGGTTTTGGTATTCACGCATTCTTTCTTTCCAACAGTTTCTAACCTAAAAATTAAAACTTCAAGTTTAAGATTATTATTTTCATATTAAACAAAGATTTATGTGCTAAGCTAATGGACCTTTCTGCAGAGAGGTAAAGCTAATTATTTTTTGTTTTAGTAAACATACAGAAAGTTACCTGCAGGGTATTAGGAGGGACACTACATGTTTGACTCTTTCAGTCTGTTACACATAGAATGTTTTTGGTGAATTTGATGAATGTTTGAAATGTTCTAAGTTGGCACTGAGAATCAGGGCTTAGACTCCATGGCAGCATCCATTGCTGTGTAAGCGACCTCTTCTGTTCCTGCAGAAAACTATGTTTTTTCCTTGTAGTTCTTTACTTAATGCAGGTTTCAGTAAGGGCGAGTTGGCTGTATTTTCTGGGATTAGTTAGCATCATCTAACAGGGGAAATTCAAGATGGATTCACTTCTACTGTGGTGATTAAAGTGGCTTCTACCTCTAGCGTCCTCATTTCCTTGTCACGTAGTGTTGTAATATACCTTTTAGTATGCTCTAAATGCTTAGTGGCTGCAGAACCATAAAAATCAAGAGCGTAAGCTGCAGGTTCTTAAGACTAAGGCTTCAGGACTCACAGCATAATTTCCTTTCATTCTTTTAGTTTAAGGAAGTCATAGGCAATGTCACTTGGCCTGAGGAACTAGACTCTACCTTCTGATAAGAGTTAAATGTTGGCCTGGCAGTGGTGGTGCACACCTTTAATCCAGTACTCAGGAGGCAGAGAGAGGCAGATCTCTGTGAGTTCAAGACCAACCTGGTGTACAAGAGCTAGAGAGCTAGTTCCAGAACAGCCAGAGCTACACTGAGAAACCCTGTCTCGAAAAACAAAAAACAGCAACAAAATAAGTGTAAGTGTAGGGGGCAGAAGGGATGACTCAGTGATTAAGAGCACTGGCTGCTCTTCCAGGGGACCCAGGTTCAATTCCCAGCCCCACATGGTAGCTCACAACTGTAAGTCCTGTTCCAGGGGATCTGAGACCTACACACAAGTATATTTAGGCAAAATCACCAGTGCACATGCAGTAAGAATAACTTTTTTAAGAAAAGAGTAAAGTAAAAATAAGTCGCTGAACTAGGCAGTGATGAAACAGCCTTTAATCCCAGCGCTCAGGAGGCAGAGACAAGCCAGTCTCTGAGTTTCAGGCTAGCCTAGTCTACAGGGCAAGTTCAGAACAGCCAGTGCTACACAGAAAAACCAACCCTATCTTGAGAAACAATCTAACAAACAAACTAAATATTAGGTAGGGAGGGAAAGAGAGAGAGAGAGAGAGAGAGAGAGAGAGAGAGAGAGAGAGAGAGAGAGAGAGAGAGAGAGAGANGAAGGAAGGAAGGAAGGAAGGAAGGAAGGAAGGAAGGAAGGAAGGAAGGAAGGAAGGAAGGAAAAGAAAGATGCTACTATTTACAGTGTACTACAAACTCAAAATCTGAGGAACTCACACCTCATAAAACTATTCTATATTATTTACTATTAGTTTCATAGCACATCTACTGTCATCCAGACTTAGATATATATGATATTACAGCATACCTTAAAACCACTGGATTTAAATTCTGGAAATATTTTTTTAATTATTTAAAGCCAGTATTTGTCATGCAGAATAGGCTAACCTTGAACCTCAAACTAGTAGTTCTCCTGCCTTAGTCTCCTGATGCCTAGATATCCACCACCACACCTGTTTAAAAAAAATTATTAGTTCAGTACTACTTATTACTTGGTACCATGTTTTAAATTTAGAAATAACAATGAGACGGGGTCATGGTTTTTTAAGAAAGTCAAGATGTGGTCCAAGACAGTGCTTTTAAAGAAATGCCCTTGAATTGAAAATGCACACCAGTAATGTGTTTCTTATGAATGCACTGATCAATATGTCCATTTAGGGTTGTTTATTTTTCCCTGTGCGGTCCATTTTCTTTCAGGCTACTTCAAATTACCATGCAAGGAGGTTTGGTGTTCGTGCAGCCTTGCCAGGGTTTATTGCTAAGAGACTCTGCCCACAACTTATTATAGTGCCCCCAAACTTTGACAAATACCGAGCTGTGAGTAAGGAGGTAAGTGACTGTCTCACCCCAAACCCTTTTACTGGCTTTCTGTCACCTACTCTCGATTCCAGATGCCTTAGAGTGTCAAGATGTGGTCTTAGCCACAGTGAAGGGTCAGCTGTTTATAGCGTATCCAGACATATCATTCTGTTTCCTGACGCTTTGCCTTCCATGTATTTTCCGTCTACTCTCAATCTCTCAATTCTCTACCATTTCTCAAAACTTTGTAAAGCCTTAATAATTAAAGCATAACGTTAATTTTAAATAATTTTTCTAGAGTAACCTAATATTCCTAATTTATAGAAGCTACTCATTAATTTCAATCTATTCTAAATTAAATTTACATAATCATTTTGTTGTTGATGCTTGATCTGTCTCTGACTGTCCTGGAACCCACTGTGTAGCTCAGGCTGGTCTGGGTCACCAAGCCTGTCTCTACTTTAAACAGAAGCAAAATTCACTTCGTGTGATTAGATTGTCTCATAATCCTACAGAGTTACTTGATCCTGTTTTGCCTATGAGACTTAAAAAAAGAGGGATACTCTCTTGCTTCAAAAAAAAATAAAATAAAATATAATGATTTGTTTACATAATTTTAAATCCTGAACTATCCCTATGAAAAAGTATCATTCCTTTGATTTTCACTAAAATTGATCTGTGGTACAGGGTGGAGACTTAATTCCTTGGTTAAGATCTAGACTGCTGCATGTACATCACTTTTGGACTGCTGTTATACAGTGAAGTGTATCATAGAGTCTGAGCATGACATTTAATTCTTGCACTGTGGAGACAGGAGAATGAGGAGGTCAAGGCCAACGTCAACCACTCAGTAATTTTGAGGTCAGCCTAAGGTATATGAGCATCTATCAGAAAAGAAAGAGAAGAAGACAGCTATCTAAATACTAAAACTATGGTGTACCACTCTTTTATTTTTTCAAGATTTTTTTTGTTAATTTTTAATTGTATGTATGTGTTTATGCCTGTGTGTGGTAGGCACATCTGTGTAGATGCCTATGGGGTCAGTAGATTTCCTGAGTAGACTCGGAGGTAACTGTGAGACGGCTGACATGGGTGCTAGTGGCCAAACTCTGGTCCTCTGGAAGAGCGTGTGTGCTCTTAATTGCTGAGCCAACTCTCTAGTTCTGATACAGGGCTTACAATCACTTAGACATGCAAGTGAGCTTTAAATTCCCTTATTTTTATTCTACCTCACTTTCCCTAGAAATATTGCCACCATACTAAAACAGGTTTATTCATTCAAAAGCAATCTCTTAAATCAATTGTTTTGTTCCTATTTTTGAAAAAGTAATAGGCAAAGAGAACATCTCTTAAATAATTTTTTTGTAAACACAGTTAAAAAATAAATAACAGCATGAGTACAGGGTTTGGTAATTGAAAAATTATGAAAGACTTTGTAAGAAAGACCTTGAATCATACTCTAGCTTAGTAAAAGTTCTGACAATCTGACATGAGAACTAAATTATTTTTAGTTGTCTATCATCTGGTTATTCATGTAAGCTGGAAAAATCTTCAAATTTGAGCAACGTCTTGCTAGTTAAGATAGCAAATGAGTTTTACATGTAAATGCAGTGTTGATGCATTAATGTTTCTAGTCTGGCTAATAAATTTAAGGAGCATCTGTTTTGTTCTGTGGTGGTGTCCCATGGAGAGGAAGAGAGCAGTACGAGGCCGTGCCTCCAGGGAGCACGGCTCAGTCAGAGTCTTAGAGGACTGCCAGGCACAGACTTGCCAGTGTCCTCTTCCCCAGAAAGATAGCATTCGCACCTGTTACAGAACGGCTCCTTCTACAAGAACAGAGCTATTTAAAGCACTCTGAATAAAAGTATGGCAAGTTTTACATCATCATTTTCTAAAATTCCCCTCAGTTGTTCGCGACTATGTGAAGATAGAACAGTTACTTTTTTATAAAACAGAAAGTTCTCTAATGAAGCGAATCAAAGCTTTTAAATGTTAGATGAAGACTAACGATTCAGCAAAGATATTTTCTATTAACTAGGTAATTTTGGCAATCCTTCCCTCTTACTTCAGCTAATTCTTGTGTAGTTAAAAGACAAACAGCAAAGAGACTCCTTCGTGATTATGTAATCAAGTTACCCCATATAAAAGGCTTTGCTGAACTGTATTAGCTGTAATTCTAATCTTTGTGTATTTCCTACATGTCACAAAGAAACTCCAAATTTTCATCTTTTATTTAGTGCAAGCATGCCGTTTTTCTGTAGATTTATCATCTTTTCCAGTCCAGATTCCTATAAATAGTAGAGCTTTATTTTGTGTGATTATTGTTCATATAATGATTAACTGAAATGTACTGCTCTCTAAAACATGGTAGTTCTTTACATTCTTTAAAATAAACAAAAAATCTTCAGAAAAGAGATGAGAGGGAATACTTTTGATTGGCCACTTTGTTCCTACTGGAATATTGTGTGAGATTTATTTGACTTGCTTTGTGTTTCTAGATGTAGGATGCTAGATTCAGGTTGCGGCAGATGAGGCTATTTCACAGTCTTCTGCCTTCATGATCTATTTTAGTGCAAAAGAGAATTTGACAAATATCCACTGGTAGTAAATTATTTATTCCTTAAATCCGTGAGCTATTGATTGCAGGATCATTACTATAGTTGCAAAGTAAGAATATTAGTGCTTTCTATCAGATATATAAGACAGCAGGTTTTGCTGTGGCAGCAGAATTTAAACTTTTGTTGTGGTTGTTCCTTTTGAAGGTGAAGGAGATTCTTGCTGAATATGATCCCAACTTTATGGCCGTGAGTCTGGATGAAGCCTACTTGAATATAACACAGCACTTAGAGGAAAGGCAAGATTGGCCTGAGGACAAAAGAAGATATTTCAGCAAAACAGGAAATTCTGTAAAAATTGGTAAACAATTTATTAGAACTACCAACTAAATAGTAGCAGAAATCAGCCTTTGAATCGCTCCTATTAATTCAGTTGTGTAAATAGGATAGGATGAGATCTGTCTTTATAAACATGTAAAATCAGAAATGTGAACTATAAGTATTGCAGTGTCTTTAAAGTCAGATGACAATGTTGGTTCTCCAGAATTTGAGGATCTGCAGAGTTTTTCTCTGGGGTAGTTGCAGAGCAGTTATTTTCTTAATATCAAAGGGTTTAGATTACATAGAAGTGGAGGAAGTTCCTGTTTAAAGTGGCCTTTTTGTTGTTGTTGTTATTATTGTTGATAGAAATCAGATTTAAAAAAAAGATTAGCCTCAAACACACTAAAATATTTGTTGATTTTGTTTTTCATTGTTTCTCAGGTTTTCTATAATCTAGTTGTAATACGATAATGTGACTGTTTTCAATCCTGCAAAGATTTATGACCTCACTCTCCCTTCTTCCCCATACACCTTACTGAGACCTTACTATAACTCAGGAGTTGGAGGCAGTAGTGGACTCAGTGCTCCGCTCCCACTCGAAGGTGGAGACCTTATTTATTTATTTTTATTTTCTGAGTCAAGGTCTCTTTCTGAATCTAGAGCTGACTGATTTTCTGGTAAGCTCTGGGGTTTTGTTGTCATTGTGTTCCATCACTCCTGACCCCTGGGTGCCCCCTTCCCCACCAGGCTTTTATGCAGGTACTGCAGAGCCCAACACAGGTCTTCAAGCTTGGTTAGCAAGCGCTTGATCCACGAAGGCATCGCCCCAGGCCCTCCATGACTCTTCTCTACAATTGAAAATTTTAGGACTGCCCTGTCTTGACTCCATGAACAAAGTTCACCCAGCTGAGAAGGTGCCCTAAAGGGATTCTCGTTCACACATCGCAGCCCCATTTCACGTGTGTAACTCATTCACAGCACCAAAGGGGTGGGCAGTGTGGAGAAACATGTTAGTAACGCTCCTTGAACAAAATGGTAGTTGTATAATGGCATCCATTATTTTCTCTTCTTCCTCTCCCTCCCCACCCCCCATCTCTGCCTCTCTTGTTGTTGTTGTTTGTTTGTTTGTTTGTTTGTTTTGTTTGGGGGTTTTGTTGTTGTTGCTATTCTTGTTATTCTTTAGAGATGGCTTTTTCTACATAACCCTTAGCTGAGCGCTGGCTGTCCTGAACTTCACTCTGTAGACTAAACAGGCCTGGAACTCACAGAGATCCTCCTGCCTCTGCCTCCCCAGTGCTAGCATTAAAGGCATGTGCCACCATGTACTGGCAGCATCAAATTCTAAGCCTTACATTGTTAGGGGATCACTCTGTTTGCAGCAAGGTCAATATAGACATCAAGTCGAAGCCTCATTACCTTATTTCCTAGGAGGTAGGTCTCTCTTTTTCTTTGATGGAAAGATATAT